ACAACAACATCATCGTCACATGAATTGCTAGCATTCTGCAAGATGTTATGATGTTTCAATATGGACTTCACAATGCTAATATTATTAACATTGTTGTTGCTGATATCATTGAAATCATATATTTCAATTAGATCTTCAAAAGCTTGTTCAATATTTGCATCATCAAAATTCAAAGAAGTTGAGAAAAAATCATCTTGTCAAATTTTTAGAATATTTTTGCTAAAACATTGAAGATCAAATTTAAATTAGAAGCAGCTCAATTAATACAAATATCTTGTTAAAAAATTATGTCGAAAACAAAAATGATGCAATTAATTTTAACAAAGCAACACCAAATAGTATTCTCTTGATGTCATCTAATGCTGATTTGTTCCAGCCAAACACGTTGAGTAGGTGTGTATGATCATAAAACAAAAATTAAAATCTCAAATGCACGTTTATTCGTTTGCCAAATTTTATACGCAGATATTAGATGATTCAGTTGAGTATGGAAAAGGCGTGTTTTGAAAATGTAATGACTATAGTAGAACCTCCGCTACCAAATACTCCAATACCGAATAACCTCTAGTACTGAATGAAAATCTTTAGGTCCCGACCTCGGGCATATGCAGCTTAGGGAATAACCTCCATTTTCTAATAGTGAATAAAATCGTGACAGTCCCGACTGTTTTTTTAGTAAATATGACAGCAAACATCTATCACCTGTCGTCTGTTTCTTAACAAAAAACCTATCTAATGTGGTTTGTTGCAACTTCTCAGTTTGAATACTACGAGCAGCGTCCATCATACTTCTTACTAACAAAAGATTTTCCGTATGGACTCTCTCTTGCTGAAGCCAAAAGTGTTGAAGCTTCTTGAGCATAAAAATGGCATCGTCAAGGCAAATTTTTGGAAGCTCTTCACTGTCGTCCTCTTCCTCAAGGCAGGATATCTTGACAGCCGGCTCCTTCAGATTTGCGACCATCTCCTCCTTGGTCAGAGTGTACGTCACAATTTCTCCATCAGAGTAATTCAGTAGGTTTCGAATGTTCATAGGATTCTCATAGCGGAATCGACAAATCTGGCTCTCTAGTTCACTGATGACTTCAACTGCAAGCTCTATCAAATCTTCCTTTGCGGGGGCATCCCGGTGTACTCTGAACGAATTTGACAATGACAAAGCAATTAGAAATTGTTTTCAGCTTGACATTCAAAGTCCATGTTGCAACGGTCATTTGGATGCCTTCAAGAATGACAATTTTTTTTGGATTCGAAATGATTGAATTCAGACGCATAAGTATTTTCTCATTGAATCAACGGCTATAATAAGCTTTTAAGTTCCGAATTATACCTGCATCGCAAGGTTAGATATTTTTACATTGTGTTTGGCTGAAGGTACCTTACGGTTGTGTTACGCAGCTTAGGGAGACTGTCGACAGGAATATGAGCACTACAGTTGTCAAGGATGAGCAAGACTTTACTCTTCACCATCCAGAGGTCGAACCACTTGATCCACTCGGAGAAAATGACATGGATCATCCATGCCTTCAAGTTCCAATGGTACCTGCAGCCGAGGTTCTCCCTGTTCAAGTTCTTGAAGCAACACTGATTCTGAAACTTTCCGATGATCCAAAGTGGCAACTTGTCATTGACGTCGCCGTTGCAGCAGACTGCAAGTGTTATTTGCTTCTTTTGTGCCTTACGTCCCTCCATTTGCTTCGTTGCCAATGAGTTGTCCGCCTGCCGAAGCGAGAACAAATGTCAGCCTATTCTAAAGCGAAAGGCAAAAGTTAACTTCCGTTTTCCGATTGGACTTACAAGCATTCGGAAGAAAAGTCTCGTTTCATTCATGTTGTAGATGTCTGTCCATGGAAGTGGGTCAAGTAGTTCACGAAGTCGAGGAAGAGCCTGGTCGACAAAACTCATGTCAACAGAGCCACTTTCTCCGAATCGACCGAAAGGACTTGATTCTATAGCGAGCATTGAACTTCTCATGCCATCCGTTGGAAAATTCGAACTGTTCCGCTTCTGGATATAGTTCATTCAGGATTTTGGCTCCTTGAGCTTTCAGCAACTCACCGCTCATGTTCACTTGAGCTTGGTAAGCAATGAACCACACGTAAAGGGCCTCTTCTATCAACGGATTATTCACAACTTTCTGTCGTTTCGCATCCATAGGGTTCTCTCTCTTGGCAAGGAGCTCTGCCGACCTTGCTAGTGTCTTTGAGATGGTCGACTGGCTGACTTTCATGTCAAGGTGCTTCTCTGCCCAAGAATGAGGTATGTGTGCATCATACGCGGCTCATTGTGTTTCTATTCGACAAGAGCGATCCTCTGCTTGTACGTCACCACAGTGTAGGTAAGCTTCTTCGTAGACATGATGCTCATACTACATGTGAAGCAAGAGCGGCAGAGAAGATGTTCGATGGAGTAAATGCTGCGACATAGAACTTTGTGAAGCAGAAGCAGCAAAGAAGATGCTAGACTGAACATATGCTGCATCAGAGAAATTTTCCGACAGTGGCAAAGATGTGGTCGATGCTACGAGTGGGTCCACAAATTACCGAGTAGACGTCCTAGCATTGCAAATTTTGAGACCCATTTGCCTCTCAAAGCGTCATCATGGCCTCAGACAACTTCCCGAGCATTACCTGTGCTAGATAACAATCTTTGATACGTAATATCTGCTGTGCGGTTCCAAGGATATTCGCTGGCCGCGGACAACTTCCCGAGCATTACATGTGCTAGGTAACGATCTTTGATATGTAATACCTGTATTGCAGTTCCAAGGATATTCGGTAGTAGAGATTTTACTCTATATATCACTTAGTGAACATATATTTCGGAACTAGCATTTTGTTTTTCATAGTTAATTGTCTTCTAGTAAGTAGATTTATTTATTCATTTATACATAAGTAAACTTGAAAATAAAGTTGGCACAGCAATTTCTTATACTAAATAATTTTGAACATAATAGTGAACAGAATAACTTGATAATAGCCGTAGTATAGAGTACGGTTTCACAGAATAAAATGTTGAAGAATATTATGACAATTTGTATCCAAAAGTTACACTAGAAGTAAAATTTTTAGCTGACATGGAAAATTAAGGTTTGGCAAATTCATATCAGAAATTGTCTTTACTATTGTGACTAAGAGTTTATTTTGAGAATCTTAACTACACATTCATATAGTTTATTTGGTCTTTGTTATTATATTGTTGTGTTGATATGAAATATTTGAAATCAATCGAGAATTCCAATCTATACATATGTATTTCACACAAATTTGTTACTTATTAGCCTTAGAAAAACTAGTCATCCATTATTTGAAAAAAAAATTGCAATTATTATTATTATTGAAAGAAAATATACAAAGATATTGATGAATGTCAAAAGGTTACAAAACTTACCAAATTTTTATCAATTGTTGTAAAATTGGCATAAACAATCAAGCTAACCATCTATTAGTCACAGCTCATACAGCTTTGAGTTTGGTAATTTCATTTTAGAATATATTTTTAACAATATAGTTAGTTATTATTTGTTTATTTATTTATTCAATCTTATACAATCATGTGATAACATGGCCAACATGAATAAAATGTACGATCACACATTAAGTATAAAAACTGCAATTAAAGATATATAATCAACAAAATGCATAGAATTTTCGTAGGCCAATTATTCACAAAAAAAAATTCAACAAAAACTCCCATTTTATGTTAATTTAGCTATTTAACTTTAATTCAGGATAATTTTTTGCAAGTATGATTCAAAACGTAGTTCATGTAGTACTGGCGATAGATGTCTCATAATCTATGTAATAGCATCTAAACATAAATTATATATATCGCCATGATGATCTTCGAAAATAACAATACAAGTTGAAGTGTATGTCAACATACTCATATATCTGGTAACACTTATTTTCCACATTCAGACACATTATCACTAAATTTGTTCTTCAAATGTATCATCAGTTGGCAATTATTTGACGATCTTCACAAACATTCTGCGAATGAAAAAAAAGACTTTCGCCAAGACTTGACATGTACAACTTTTTGTGGTCATTTTCTCTTCGAAAAGGGCAGAGAACACATGAGAATAACAGGAATGATCCGAAGGCCATGTCAGGTCGTAGCATAAGAAGTTTGTCACACTGCAGATATTTAAAACAAAGATCAAAGAAACAACATCTGACCCGTCACTTGAGTGCTCTATTATCAACAAGATAATTATCTTCATCCAACGTACATCATATATCAGTTGGTTAAGTTCTTCTCTTTCGTTCATCTTTGCGTTCAGCATCCTGTTCCCAATTGCGTGCAATGTCAATCAATCTCAGCAAACGCTTTACGACCACAACGATCGACATGAGATAACACATTCTTTTCCTTCAGAACAACAACGTTGGTTTTTCCGTACATTGAAACATTTTCCTTATCATACAGGTTTCCAACAGTCCATTTCGTTTGTAAAAGTCTACTGTCGGAAACTTCTGCAAACCACGACGTTCGATTTTACAGTGAATAATCATAACTTACACTGTGGGCTTAGGGGAAAACAAAAGAGAAGGAGAAGCATCGCTTAAAAAACTAGACAATAGATTCCATACTAGAATATTAACCTCGGGGGCTAAAGCATGCAAGAGACCGAAGCATCTCAAATCCTGGGTGGGGAAGTCTTAAGGGTGCCAACTTGAAACTTGCATGTCTGCTTGGTTCAAAACAACTCTCGGATATCTTTGGTGGTAAGTGGTATCCCATTCAATCAAAAACCAATTTATCGAAAGAAGAATAAAAACACGAGATCTACTCTTCTCAGCAGAGCTCTAAAGAAAAGGCCAAATTTTTCCTAAAGACACACCCTGTATCAAGACACAATTGAAAGAGGCAGGGAGTAGAACATTTTGAGCAAAGAAATTCATCGAGTTAAATCTATCATACTTTTAGGTTCAGCACCCGGTGGGGCTTTCCCCATGACTTGAGTCCGTGTCAAGGCTGTGCTTTACTTGTTAATTGTCGCGATGGTTGCTGCAGATACTCGTAGCATTCACTTTCAAACATTAGGAAAACTTTTTACACACAACCTGCAGAGAAAACGGTTTTCCACATAATTGAGTCCAAGACCTGCGAAACCACTCCCAACCCAACTCCAACGAATGGTTAATTGTGGTCACGATACACAACACTTGCAAATTTTGCACATTATCTACCATCGTCTCGCGTTAGCTCAGACTAATGCGTGAGCTTAAGTTCTCGTACAGTTCACATACTGATAGCACTGTAACCTCAGATCTTGGGAACCTCAATCCATCTCTGACAGTCGACCGCAATAGTAAGAGCGAGAGTGTACTTGACGGTTGAAACACAGCACTTTGAATCTTACTTGACAGCAAACAGCCTTAGATTCAAGCAAGATCGAGTTCAAACATTACCTAAGTAACACGCACGCCCTCCTGGTCAGCTTCGACAACATACGTTACAATTGACAGCATGGGTCCCATGCACACCCAGTAAAGACATGCCTAAGTTTCTACTTTCTTGTTATAATTTGACAATGAATCAATGTCAAAGCTCGACAGCTCACAAACACTCGCATGTACCAGAATCAATCTCTCTACATTCGTCTACATGGATGTTGGAATTTACCTCTGCTTCAGAGAGAAGTCGAAATGACTTCAAAATCCCCTTGCTCAACTATCTTGAGCGGATGGGTCTAATGTTACAATCTTATAGCGAATGTTACACCATAAAATGAGCTGCTATACGCCGAACCTTGGGAGCAGTGAGCTTACAGAGGCGCTGCAAACCTCCTCTTATACTTACAATATCTGGACAGTTGCTCTTCTAGGGGACTCCTGTCTTTCACGGTCACAATGTCGACCACAGATGCTGCCTGTCTAAGTATATTTGAAGGAGTAAACCCTGACTAGTATCAGAAGCACCTCTTGCAGACATGATTTCGGCAACTTGTCCACAAAGAATGGAATCTTCACCACATGGGCACTAAACTTACAATCAGCTTGACATCTCATGAAAATTTCCAGATTCACCTTGGTCATCCCTCCCATTTCTCATAGCAGCCATAGCAAGTTCTGCTTCCCGACGGCGCACATCCGCCCTACGCTGCCTATCGAGTTCTACTGCAGCTTCCGCAGACTGCTTTTTTCTCCTCTGTATTCTCCTCTCCACTTGCCTTTCTTGCTCCACCCACCTCTCATTCGGTGGTCCCTTTACACTTGTAGAGTTGTTGCCGTCATCGTCAATGTCCTTGCATTTTACACTTTGCTCGTCATCACTAGGGGCATCTGAGGCAAGCTCCCAGACTTTTGAGCCGCTAGCTGTCGTTCCAGTTTTAGGAGACTGTTCTTCGGCATCACAGTCAACAATTACAGTTTCTGCAACAAGATAGCGGTTCGTATAAGGGTAGTCTACCGGATCTCTATCCGAATCGTCCACTTCACAATATTCGTCTTCGTCACTAGCGCAGGAGATGCCACACCTCTCTTCAGTGCCGAGAACTGTTTCAGCCCTGTCTTCGGCGTCATCCCAACCTTTATTGCTGAAAACTCGTAAACCCCGAGCAAACACAATTCCGTCGTCCTTCACCTGGGATACGTCCATCGTTTCGAAACGTACTGCTCCAACTTTTCTAGCGTTTCCTGCCAAAATCTGTTGTCCATGAAGCGAGGACAATATTAGCCTATGGTAAGAAATGACATAAGAGTACAAAATATGGACCACACAGACTTGAAGTCACTGAGAGAGCCAGGCCTTAAGTTAACAGAGTACAGCTTATGACATCACCTCCAGCCTGTACTTCTGGAACTTTTCCCTCTTTTCCTCTTCGGTTTCTCCATCGCGACGATCTTGATTATCCTCAGAGTCTGCCTTGCGGAGAATCACGTTGATGCTCTCTCCTGTACGAGGTATATATCCAAAAGCTTCGCACACAAAACCAGAAACTGTCTCATAGCGATATGGTCCCTGTACAAAAAAGCCAAACCAGAGCCTAGTTATGTAACTTTATTACAACGCCTTTGAGATATAGTAGTAAAGTCTAATTGTCGGAAATCCGTCACAATCAGCATTTGCCCTGCGTTCTGACAACGAACTTAATCAAGGGGACATGGCAGTCCTGAAATAGATAATAAGAGGTGATCATATCCTGAAAAAAATCAGATGTGTTAGAAGTTCTACCTTACCCATGGGACAGTACTCCTGAAGAGAAGTAAATGTTATAAAAATAAAAACCATAAACAGGAACTTTGCATATACATAAAGTTGGATTCAAACCCAAAGAAGGCGACAGAGGCAACAAACACTAAAAAGAGTACCACAAAAGAACAGGAGAATATGCTTCAACCATCCAGTTAGCGGTGAAGTACATAGACGCATAGAATGAGAAAGGCTGAATACAAACCTCCGGCATTTTGACTTCAAGAGCTTCAGAGAGATCTTCAATATGTGTATTCGCATCCACGTCAAAAACCCCATCCGCTCTTTGAACGACGTAACCCGTTTTTTTCCTAATCTCCTCCTATGACAATATGTATCCACTTTACAAAACAGATAACCAACCGACACAAGGTAGCAAAGAAGTATAGAGCAAAGGTCTCTGACAATGAGAAGACATCATGTTTAAAGTACATGTTGAATTCACATGCACTGATCTAGGTCACCAGTCAAGATCCAGTTTCGATATCTTCCAACCTCCCGATGAAACCACGAAATGCCTTTTTACATAAAAACGTCTGTCTTGAGCAGGAACCCAGCTAAATAGACAACACACCTTTGAATCATTCTCATCAAAAATTTCTCCGACGATTTCCTCCACTACATCCTCTAGCGTAACAACCTGTACTTCATGCCAAGGTCACTGGGATTACTTCACAGTCATGACAGCCCTTCGTAAAGCAAACTTACATCGTCATAGCTGAAACTAGATTGTTGGACATGTATATATTGGACGGTCTTCCTTACAAACTTTGCTAGATCATAAGTTTAAAACGTCAATAAAAGTACAAACAAAACAATTAGTTTTGCCTCTCAAAATCTTCTCATGAAAAAGTCCCAGTAGAAATTGCTATCTCAGGGATCTTCAACCAAGTTGGATAGGCTTCATAATTATCAGTCATTGATACGCGTGGAGACGGAAACTTACGCCGACAGTGCCACCGTACTCATTGAGGACGATGGCCATGTGCACTTTCCTGATTCGAAATTCTCTCAAGAGATTCCACACAGACATCGAGTCTACAAGGAACGTGAGAAAGTTCAGTCTGACCTTCTTGATTAAAAGATATGAAAGACCACAGACATATTCGTTGAAACATCGTATGAAATAAGAACTGAAGGTCATGACATGACTCTCATGTTTGGTACCTGGCACAAAATAGGCAGGTCTGTGGGCAATACGTCCGACAGTCAACCTTTTGAGCACCTCAACCTGCACATAAGAGGTATCCTGTTCTTAGTGTAGAACAAGATCGACCAGAATATTCCTCAAACTAGAGCATAAACCTAGGGGATACAAAGAAAGTAAATACGAGAAAATTGCTTCTAGGTGGTGCCCTAGTACTACACTAAAAGCAACATGTAACAAAAAAGGTCTCCATGGAAATAGTTTTGGAAATAGTTTGAGATCAAATACTCATAAGCTGAGTAAAATGAATTGCAAATTGATTCGAAGCTCACCTGTTCTGCTTCATAGTCGACGTAATCAAGCATGTCCATGGCGTATGCGATACCGACAATATTATCCACGCGACGTTCAAAAACGGGAATTCTGACATAGTCATAGTGTCAATTAGGGTTCGAAAAGAGTTTTGATTCGAAGATCTTGTTACGAACACTCCAGAAAAGAGGACCGCCTTGATGATAGACGATACTAGGACCCTCGTGTCTATACTGATGTATAGCAGAGTATATGTAGAGAACCTCGACATAGCCTCTGTCTATAACTTTTCCCGTTCTCTGTTTTCAATTTTTCTTTTTGGACGGCAGTAGTATACAGTCTCCCCAATTAGACTAAACTACGACACATTCCAAGAATTACTTGAATAAAATTCACTAATTTTCCAGCTTCTTACTTCGAAGTATATGTCTAACATCAATAACAAAATCAAGGACTCAGATGACACTTCCTAGATGCTAAATCCCAATCTCCTATTAACACCATCAGAACAGATAGTCAGTTTTAAACTATTGTGGACTGAAGCAGGATGATACCTGGAGTACTGGTGCTTGACCCAAAGATTTCTGAACTCCATCAAGGTGGCCGCAGCGTCGATAGCCACAACATCAACGAGGGGAGTCATCACTTCACGGACATACGTGTCTTTGATTTCTAGAACATTTTCAATCATATCCTGTAAATTCAAGAAAAAACCCTTCAGAATGGACTCCCGGAAAAAACAATCGTTGGGCTTAGTTCGGAAATAACTTGGTCACTTCTACGCACAGCCTGCAAGATGCATGTACTCAGCAAGGCAGACCAAAACGACCATAACCGGCTGACCTGCTCTTCTTCTTCAATTGCTCCACTTAGTTCTGCTCCTCTAAGCATCAATTTGAGTTCTTCTTCACTTACAAAAGGTTCCCTGTAAACGATGATACGAACGTTTCATCGCCATTAAGTACGAAGTCAACTTAAGAGAATTTTGAGTTGTACCTGTCCACTAGAACACAAAGACAAACATCAAACTACTACCAGCATGCTATCGCGGAAGCATATCTTATGTATACAACAACTTGGCCCATCTCAACCAGACATTCACCATATATCCCTCATATTTCGGATATGAGCCAAGGGCAAAATAATTTCGACAATGCTTAAAGGGGGCAACCAGATTAGGTTCTCACCCGCTGCTCTTTAGACCCAACACCTTCAGCAGGCCCATTGAGAGAGCTGTCACTACACGGCCTACAGGATAAAGGATGACAGATAACCAAGCAACAGGTCGGACCTGTCATAACAAGTGATTTGATAAGTTTAGTCGTGCTCGACTTCAAGAGATTGTCAAACCCTACGTGTCACTGATATCATCTGTAGGACGTAAAAGAAGAGAATGGCAAAGGTGAAGATCATACGGCGAATCGTGCTACTTCTGTCGCATTGTGAACCGCTATACTCTTCGGAGCAATTTCTGTCACGAGAAGGATGACAACCTGCACAGATTTTATGGTGTAATATATTAGATACTGTAGGGAAAACAAACTGGGGGCTGAAAGACTTATTAGCGATACCCTAACTATCGCCACTGATGGACATTGCCCTCACAATAAAAGAGGCTTCACATCTCCACTCTTTTACCCTCTAGAAAAAGATACAGGGAGATCTTCATTAGTGGATCAAAGGGTAAGACTTGAGATGTATACAACTGACCTATATAGTTAGCCACTTTAATTAGAAGACCTTTATCCAGAAAAGTTGAACTTCGCATTGTAAAGTTCAGCCATTACACATTTCTTTACGTTCATAAAATATATTGGAATATTGATACTACCAATTCTTCAATATAAAGTTCACTTATTTCAGGCGAATTTAGCACGAAGCGCAAACTCATGAAAACAGAAAGCCAGATGCAGCTGGCAGACGACGAGAACACAGTACATTAGCGCTGGTGGTCTGTATATTGTCAACCATGTAACTAAAGAAGAGATGCACGAATTAGAGGAGCAGGCATCAAATGATGCTGATCAATCTGTAAGCTGCAAATGAGAAGACTAACCATAAACCAAGAAGAAATCAGTAGTTATGTAGGAAGATGAACCAAAATTTTTACTTTAAGATTTTAACAGATGCTCCGGTCAATAATTAACTCGATTCATTACGAGTTGATGAAACAAAGCATCGGATGCATGTCCATTCAAGTTACAGTATATGTACAAATAGTGACAATCAACAAAACAGGTAAGGAAACTATATCGATCATTTATGTTCACTGCTGAGTTACATAGATATAGTTGATGTGGATTGACGTGAGAAAAATGCTACGTCTTGACTATAATTGCGAGATACACAAGAAAAGCCCTGAGGAAGTTAGTGAAGCAAATTAGAAGTCTCACAGTCATGACTCCAGTTGCAGCAGTTACACCCGCTTCTCCAAACAAAGCTGTGGCTGCTTCTGTGACCATGGCAGTTGCTGCAATATTGACCACACTGCAACCAAATAGTGCCAGCACTTGATCAACATCATACGCTATATAAATATCAACTTTGGAAAAGACAAAAATTCCTGTATGATATGGAAATATTGCAAAATGCGGTTGATTCAAGACACCTACGTTGTTCCGATAAGAATGGTTGTGAGGAAACGAGTGACATCTTGCCGTAGAAGAGAAAAAACTCCCCCCTCTCCCTCCTTCTCTGCCAGCTCCCGCACCTAATGATATGGACCCAATTAACAGACATAGAGGTCAACAAGTGGGACAGCTTGAAGAGTGTTACCACGATAAGCATTCTGCTAAGGTAACTTTGTAGCTACTTTTAAAATGAAAGCAGCTGGCAAGTGGCTAGTTCCAAAAAATGCAAATGTAGAGCACCGGAAGTTGCAACCTGTAAGACAAGAAAGAATTCAGGTAAAATTTGTATGATTTCGGTAACCCATCAAGTTATGTTTCCCTCTCCTGTACAATTGGCTATGTAAACACTATTAAAACATGTCCCCAAAAAAATTGCTCTAAAGGCTGAATACATGAAATGCGAGAAGGATAATGAGACTGGGTTAACGAGCTCAGAGCCTTAAGTGTGATCCTATGGTATTCTATCGTAAGTATGACCACGACATTGTAATTTACAGAAGCCACGCGGATCACAAGCCTCCTTTTTTATGTGTATATCTTTTCAAGGACCTGTATCCAGCCACTTGAAGTGCAACTAGTTTTGGAATAACGGCACAAACCTTCCAGGGCCAAAGCGTCATGATTGATGTCTCAGCCATTGAAAAGAAAGCCGATAAACCTAGCAGAGCAGACAGTAGAAGTCCTTGATCTTTTAGCACCGCTAACACTTGAAGAAACTTTGGCAGCACTGTTCCCTTCAATGCGCTAGCTTTGTCGACCACAAGGGGCAAAACAGCTGCTCCATCACTAGCTGCATGAACCCCACCAGCACCTACAATCCACGCTATACAAATAGTCGCACTACACAATGCCAGTGTCCGTCCTACTAAAATCAATGCTCCCCGCCATCTGTGATCGTTAGGAATCCTAGGATTTTCCATCCTGCCTTGACCTCCCTGCGAATTTGCTTCCCCGCCCTGTGGGCCCGGCCTACTTCCTGCTTGCGCATTCACTTCAAACCTAACGCCACTCGGTATACCATAAGAGTCGGACCACTGAATCGATTTCTGACAGAGAGGATTCCAAAACCCTCCAGGAAGCGAACGATTCCATGGCTGCCTTGAAAATCTTAAAATGGGTGTGTTTCTATGACCACATCTAAAGCAGGTGACACCCACGTCTTTGAATAATTTACAATCGCGAACAGGTAACGCAAACAATGCTCTGTCACAAACCCGGAGTCGGAGTGATGCATGCGACTGAAAGTACCTGTCGCGCCATTTAGAAGAATTTACATGGAAGGCAGAGACCTGATTGTGCTGCTGTAAAGAAGCCATAGGAACAGACCGCCTTCCGCTTCTCACTTCGCCATGAGATCCCCAAGTTGAAGAGAAACAAATTTGCACCGATTTGGATGCTCCAACAAATGGTGACAAGCTTGCCATCTTCTCATGCCAAGTGCCAGCCTTCGGGTTCTGGTGGGTTCTGTATAGCTCCTAAATTTACCCTGGTGAGAAGATGGCTCCTGCAAACCTCAGGCCGAATCGTGCCTTCTCTGAACATTATTAGCTTCGCAAGGAAGCCGGAATTGCTTCTTCTACACCTTTGCGCCGCGCCATAATTCTGGGACAGCAATGTGAAAATCATTCAACGGCAGTAAGCAGTTCCTCTCGCTTCTCGCTTGCCCAGAAGTCCACCACCCTCAACCATCAAATTCATATCCAAGTAAAACACCAAGAAATCCTCCTGAATTCTCAGTTCACAGCGTTGAAGCAGAGCCATCCATCGAGAAACAAAACTGGCACCGCCAAAGAACCGAGACTCCAATCCCAATTCCACCGTCCAATCCTTACTTACTTGCAGCTGAACAACTCTCACCGTGTCAAGCATCCAAATAAAACCATCGACGAAATCCAAGTCCGACAACGTATCCCGGAACTCCAGCAGCTCCCGCACTCCACCGGTCTCTTCTCGACCATCACTCGATTCCCCAAAACAAGCGCAAACACTTCCGCAAATTACACTTCCTACACGATCCGTTCCTCCATTTCGGTGTGATGTGCCATTGACCCAAACCCCTACTTCTTTCTTTGGCTGGGGATACTTTGCTGAGGTTGACGTAGCCTCATCTTCTACGATGACGAGGCCGTCGGCATCATAATTAAGGAGATGCAATTCAGTATCGACCTCGTAATAAGCGACGCTTTGCGGTGAGACCCGGTGCCATAAAACAGTAGATCTGAAGATCGACGGCTGCATGATGCGCATACACGAGAATTGTTTTCTGTGTGAAGTTTGCAATACTTACTTAAGAACACACATGGTCGCTTTAGTGAAAACCCACGTGTTGAAAACAAGCCACTTCGATCGCGTGGCATGCCACATAGGATGCCTTCGTGGACTTCAATCTGCCACACACTTGACGTAAGAGCAGATACTAGGGACCTATTGCAGAACAGTTTGAACTCCCTAGGTAATATTCTTTTCTGATCCTGAAATACCTGAGTTCTAACTCCGGTGTGCTTGCAATCTTCACTGGCCAAACTTCCTCCCAACCGCTAGTTACTCCATGTCGTGGACCAACGCTGATGAAGCAGAAAGCTCATAAGTAAGGCAATCCGCCTTTACAAAGGGATGTCGTAAAATATGTGCACTATTTTAACTTACCTTGTATTAGTTCCACGAGTCTCCTTGCCATGGTCAAACCCATCACCATATCTTGTCTCAAACAACTGTGGTTCATGTTGGGGCCCTACAGTAGTCTTTTTACTATCCACCTATTTCGCAAAATCGGTTATACACTTGAATGTCCCTCTCACTGGGACAATAGTTTCCATGTCCCAGGAAATGAAGTGCAGAACTACCCGCATATCTAGGAGAGTTTGCAGTTCATTCCCATTGTTGTTTCTTATATTTTAGCATTTCCCAAACGCAATTTTAATTTTTGCTGTGGAATAAAGATGGATGGAATTGGCCGCAATATTTGCTAATTTCTTCAAGTAAATAAATGTAGAACCTGGTAGAATATTTAAGTGAAGAACTCGATGCATACTCTATCCTTGTGGCATGTGTCAGTCCAAAGATCATCACATAAAACTAGCGTTGTGAATGCATTCTCAACGGAGGATATAAAACAAAAACTGCAGTTCTTTTACTATCTTCTCATATTTCTAGTGGAAAATAATTTGTGGAAGTAATTCCAGCAAAGAAGAATCAAGACATAACCAAGTTTAAGTTCAGATTCAAACATAATCTTTATCTTGTTATAAGTTAGCTCAAGTTTTTTATTTAATCGGTTCGATTCTGGTTAGGTAGACTAATTAGATAGCAATATATGAAAGAATTCCTATAAGCTTTATGAAACAAAAATTAGTGTAGCAATAATGGTTGTTTGTGTTTGCATGTACATATCCTCAATACAGTGTATCATGTATCTTGAAGTGTCAAAGTTTTTTCCTCTGCAGGTTAGCAAAGCTCATATTTTGTATGGAAAATTAATTTCACGGTATTCAATTCAGTATCCTCTTTTGTCAGGTAAAATTTGAACATGCCCATGACTATATCTCACTTTTTTCCTGCAAATGTTTTTTTCCAGAGTTTTCTACTAAGTCTACCTAAGTGCTACAAGCAAAATACCTGCACATGTTGCTCCACTAAACTGGCTCTAGGATACAAAAAAGATAACTAAACTAATTTTGCACCATCGGATCTTTTTAGATGTAACAAGGGATGCATGAGAATACCTAGAAGGCAGACGAAAAGAGTCTTTTATTGACTTTTTATTTAAGTGTCTAGTCTTTAAATTTGGACTAATAACAGTTGATTTTGCAAACTATCATCATGAACTCACTCATATTTGCTAGCAATCTTAAAAAATACCTCTTTGCAATTATACATGAGTACAAAGACTATACTTATCTCTTGATGAATTTCAATAGAGATATCATCCAACAAAATTATGTAACCTACTTTGAAGTTCATGCTTATAATAATCATGCTATATACTTGTACAATTTTGATGACATGTTGGATGATGAGAAAAAAGCTCTTTACGAATTACATTTATTTTCTGTATCCACGGTATACATTGAGTTTGTTGATATTAAATATATCCAAATGTGAGATCTCATCACTGACATTGATCTTATTTATCTTGTGAAGAATTATATGGCAGATAAAACTAACAAAAGATGTTGGATAAATGAGATAAATTATTTCATCTTGCATCTTAAGATGTCGAATAATTTTATAATTGCATCGAAATTGCAGTCATGCAAATGTCAAATCTAGAATTTTATTTTTTATGTGTTTGTTCTTATCCATTTGCTAATTTTAACAATCTAAAAATCCTTTTCTTCAAATTTGTAAGCAAACTATTTTTTTTCATAATTAAATATTTATATATATAAAAAAAAGGTGACAACATTCATCTAATATAATACAATTAATTATTTTTAGTTTATAAAGTAATGAATGTATAATGTCATATTATATGGATGAAATAAAATTGTTAGTGTACATAGATTATTTGTCTCAATGAAATTTTAACCCATCAATATGACTTGAGAGATATTTATAGTTTCATACATTGTATTAAACCTTAACTTGTACACACATTTATTATTAATCACAAATTAATTGTTTGAAAATCTAGCTAAAAAATTTTATTATCAGTTAATAATATATTTATTAACTTCATAAAAATATTTAATCAAAAGTTTCGAATTTTTTCAAAAAAAATTTGATTTTATATTTTCAAAATGAATATACATTGTCATTTTTTTTGAATTTGACATATTTTTTTCAAAATATTAGAAATCAAATCCTATATGATATGCTAAAAACACTATTCGAATATCATTCTTAAACAAATTTTCATTAGTCCAAGCATTTTTTTGATTTTATTATTTCATGAACTATTTTTATCAACAATGATATTTTGCGGAATCTAATTCTCATTTTTTCTGAAATTTTACCACTGAATCCATGATTTAATCTCAAGAATATTCACAATGAAATAATTATTTTGTAACTAACAAAATATTATACTTTTTAGTTTGTATAGATTAAAATTTCAATGCATAAATAAAAAATCATAATTTATATGATCTTATAAATGTTTCTTGTAATCGTAAAAATCTTCGGTTTTCTTTATAATAAATTAAATGTTATTCAAATCAATATAGATAACACTTATAGTGGACTATCTAGAACTAGCACAAAAAGTTCTGGTGTGCTTAGATGAATTAAGAGTATTTCTATTCGTTAACAACAACACATCAATAATATGTATGTTAATTATGCAAAGATTAAATGTGCAAATTAATGCTGGTTGAAGGTAAGAAGTAATCGAGTGGTGTGATTGTTGAAATCTATTATGTTTTCAATCAAATATGAATGGAAGGAATGATGCTAATGATACATTATATCTTTGTGAAAATGTGTATAAAAAAATGTAACAATTTATTATCATCTTTAAAATTTGTGTATCAAATTTCATGACTTTTTTATAACTTTTACTTCTATAAGGATATTAAAAGTACTTTGCCTTTTTCCTCCAGTATTCACTTTCATATGATAATAAACGAGTGTTAATGTATCTTAAATTTTGATTATGTATGGAGACCGGTAGATTTCATCTATTTGATCATAGAAAAAAATATAATTTTGCTTATAAGATGATGTTTGATAAAATGTTGACATGACAATAATTGATTTTCAATCTGTTTGATATTCAGCTTTGTTTGATGAAAATACTTCATGTTTTGATATACATTATGACAAAATTGTGTTCAAAGTTTATGACTCAAATGATGAAGTTGAGAATGACATTTGTATTTTCAATCATAGGAGAGTACATAGAGTTACACCATTTATATTATGTATCAAATTATTGTGATGATTAATATATTTTACATCTAGTTGTGAATCAGTTAACAAATCAAAACACCTTGAGTTGAATAAAATTTATTCATGAATACTTTATTTGATAACACTATTAATTGAATCAATATTAACTTCAAATTTAATTTTGTTGATGTTTATATTAGAATGATTTTTTTAATAGATTTTTAAAACATTTTCTTACATTGCAAATTTTTCATGTGATATTATAAAATAATAATTTCAAATACATAAATTTTATGTATGATATTATTATTATTATTATTTCAAATGTTTTTTATGTTAATATTTGTATACATTCATGTTCAATTTAAAAAAAAAAACATCTTGTAAATTGATTGTACTATCATGTAGTTTCGAGTCGTGTCATTCAATTTCTCATACTTACTATATTTACTTGTTGAGTAAGGGTTTTAGGTCGTGAGGGGTACAGGATCGGTGATGGCTCGAAGAACGTAAGTTCTTCGAGTCGAGCCTAACGCATTGGGAGTAATGCCTGTTAGCGTCGACCTGAAATCTCTGAGTGTGGAACGTGTTGAGCTCGACTTATGTTTGTGACGGTGACGGTTTTTGCCAGTGGAGCAATCATACCGACAGAGATTCCAGTGGAGAATCTTCCCTGTTTTTCAGTTGTGACATTTGAGTGTGTACTCTATCGCGCCTTATATGTGTGTATGTGTGCGTATATGTATGTGAGTAGCATGTCAGCGATGTAGAGTGTATGGCGATATGTATTCGCATGACAATACAGCCAATACGTATAAAGATTTGAATAAAGAGCTTGAATTTACAATGAATTTACGCATTTAATTATTTTTGTTTATTCACATACTTAACTTTTGTCTATTCATACTTACTAACTAACATTATATATATAAATAAAAAAGCTCTATGGTTAAAAAAGTACAATTTCTATAAATGAAGCTTGTGTTTTTCAAGAAAGAAATATCACTTATTATTTAATCACATACATGTTTTTTTGTAAAGTATTTACATTTTTCAAATTAATTCTTATCTTTTTAATCTAATTAGTTCAACAAATAATTTTTGAATGTTGAATTTTGGACAAATCCATTAATTACTAAAAAAATATATTTAGTGATATTACAAGTAAGTGTTAATATTCAAATATTTCT